AATATTCCACAATATGAACATATTATTTTAACAAAGCTTATTTAGCAGTAACAAGAAAACCATCAAGAAAACTGTCAAAGCTGATGGGAAAGGTATTGGAAGTATGCTAAACACCAATGAAGAGAGAAGAAACTAAACAAAATGTAAATCTGCGAAAAGACTGATTTTGCAACATTGAAAAGATAGATGCCCACCAGTAATCCAGTGGATAGAAGACATCACAACACATATTGACCCTTGACATACAGATGGCAACTATGCATGGATATATTTTTTAAATTTGGAAATCTTTAATGGAAGCCTATGTGTAGACACTCCTCTGTTTTGCTTCATTATTTTCCTATGCTCTCCTTTTTTTTCTTTATTTTTTCTTTGCTTTTCTGATATTATAATATTGTGTTTAGATTTATGAAATTAAAACAATAATAACATATTTTAAAATTATACTGTTGCTAGTAAGTTACTCTTTAGTTTATTTTAGTGTGTAGTCTCTTCCTGCTTCAGTGGAGATTGCTGAGAGCGCCTAATATCCACGACCACTACAAACACTGTTATTATAATTTTTATAACACTTGGCATCAGCAGTCTGTCTGCCAGCCACAGCACAGAACACAGCCAAGGTAAAACTTTCCACATTTGTTCTTGAGGACCTAAAGAGGATCATACCGAACCCCAACCAAAGATGCTTATTTATTATGAATGGTGTCACACTTTGTTCCCTTATTTAATGGCAATATATCTGATAGCCTTGTTCAGTTTCATTACAATGAAACCAAAAGCTCATCAAGACATAAATGCTTATAGCCATGTGCATACTGTACAGGTAAGTGGCTATCTAATTCTTTATAACTGAATATTTTACTGTTGTAGCCTTTTATGCCTAGTACCCATTTCCATTGTGATGTATTACTGTGGAAGATTACTTGTCAAGCTGACAAGTTTACAGTTTTGTTATTTCCCAGATCAATAAAGTTTTAAAATGATTTATTGTGTGACTGCCTTGCTATGTTCAAGGGGAAATCATAGGATTGACCTTACTCACTTTCCTTTTCTGTAACGTTAAATTTTCTCTAATAAAGTATGTGCTCACAGTGGCATACCCAATGTGTTTATCCCTATCATGTTGTGGTAATAATATAAGCATTTGCCAACAGTCCAATGGGTAATCATAAACTGTGGGAAGAGCATCAAATCTGACTTGCAGCGCACAAAATTAGCAGAATGTATGTTTTATCCTACATTTTGTCATCTTCCAAATAAAAACAAAGCCTAGTCTTGCAATGCTTTGCATCATTCTAATTGAGTTCAGAGAGGCGGGGAAGGCAGATTGAAGCCCTGCAGTTATTAGAGTGGGAGAAGAGACAGTCATAGGCTTATTCATAAATTCCATTCCAGTGTCTATGGTATAATGCGGTAAAGAATTCTGTGATTATAGAGCTAGTCAAGGTCATAAAAAAACAGGAATTGAGAAGGTAGGCAGTCAAGGGAAGCAGAATAAGCTTAGGAATTGGAAGATATGGATAAGAGTGATCCTATGGAGCAAGGGGTAATGGAAATTGAGAAAAGGAGAGCGAATGGGCAGTAGGGACGACTACATATAGCCAAGCCTACAGCAGAAGGGAAAAGTGTTATTATTGTTATAAGTTGCCTCTTAGTCATGGAAACTCCAAAAAATGAGTGACTTCCATGAAAAACACTGGAAAATGTGGTATAGGGGTGTACATATGTTATGACCATTTTGGAAAATATTTTGACTGTGTCAAATGTGAGTCAGTGTCTAATGGATCCACTGTCTCTGCACAATGTCATGGGTTTTGCCCGCATGGCACCAGACATATTCCAAAGCACAACTGCCCCATGCAATGACACCCTCCCTTGTAGACAGAGCCTTTGGTTATATCAAACACAAAATGCAGCGGGCTGGAGCAGCGCTTCCCAATCTTTAGTAGCCCAGGTGTTCTTGCACTGCAATTCCCAGAAGCCTTCAGCACCAGCTGTGCTGGCGGAGGTTTCTGGGAGTTGCAGTCCAAGAACACCTGGGCACTCTATCTCTAGGTAGGGAACCACTGCGCTAGAGGATTCCTAACAAAAGAGACACCGAGGTACAGATAGATATCCTTGCTACAAGGAATGCAGTCTGCTTTTGGGATTAGAACATAAAAAGGGATCAGAGGGAGTAATTAGGTTTCTGATATTGATACCTCCTTCACCAGAGACGGGAAACGTTCCAACAGATGGGAACAGCTTCTATTGCCTTGTGTAGTGATCGGCGTAACTGCTCCCCCAGAAGGATGCTATATCCGCAAACAGAGGGTTTACCGTGAAACATTATGAAGCAGTGGCAAATTCCAGAGGGGATCCAGTCCCTCGGTATTCCCGGCCCCCCCGCCCCAGCTTGGGTCCAAGAGATGGGTGCAGATTTTCCCCCTAAGGAAGGGAAAAAAACCCAAAAACTCCGGGGCTACCTGCGCTCCCTGCCCGGAACTCCCCCCCCCCCCCGTTCCCACGCTCCTGCCCAAGCGCAAGCGGCTTCCGTTGGGCTTGCCAGGGGAGCAAATCTGCTGAGTCAGGACATCCCAGCCTCACCAAACTCCTCAAAGCTAACAGGGCCGGCGCCCGGGCAGCGGCGGCGGCGGGGGGGGGGGGGGGGGGGGGGCGAGAGAACGCATCCCTCCCCTCCTGAATCTGCGGTCTGTGGGAGGGGTCGGCATCTGCTCCAATTTGCTTCCCTGCCTCCTCCCTCTCCTCCCCCAGGAGCGGAGCAGCCGAGGTTGCTCGATCTGATAGGGCGGCAACAGCAACGGCGGCGGCAGCAGGAGGAGCAGCAGCAGCAGGAGCGGGAGCAGCAGCAGGGACGAGGAGGCGGCTCGCGTATTATTCGGGCTTCCGTGGGGCGAATGTTCAGACGACGGGCGGCCCAGGCCGGGACCGGGGCCAGGCAATAGCGGCCCGATGCGAACCCTGCTCTGTGCCCTGGAGGACTCTCGCCCCTACCGCTGCCTCTTCGAGCGGCACGTCCTTCGCCTTCCAGCTCCGTCACCGCTGCTGACACGAACCCCCGGGAGCGTGGGAGGCAGCCTGGGCTGAGGGGCGCCGGCACTACCGAGAGGCGAAGGCGGGCGAGAGAGCCTTACTAGTGGGTGCCTCCGAGATTCGCAGAGGGCGGGGAGGCGCGCCGGCTGTTGGGGCATACGCAGGGGCACCGGCGGCGGCGGCGGCGGCTGTGACTCCAGCACAAGCAGCGGGAGGGAGAAGACGAGCCGCCTGCGTGCCAACAGCGCCACAGGGAGAAGCGAGGAGGATGCTCCGCTGCCGGTGAGGGAGACGCTCACGCACCCCACGGGCGATGTCGGCGGCCGCTTCGCGGAAGAGGCGGGAGGGCGAGTCGCCCGCCTGGGACTCCGGAGAGTTGGGACGCGGCGCGTGAAAGTGGAAAGAAGAATGCGCGCCGGCCCTTCCTCCTCCTCCTCCTCCTCCACCTCTTGTCCTTCCGCACCGCGCGGTTCCCGCGGCGGCGGCGGCTGCTTCCCACGAGCCGAGCGAGCTGGAAGTGAAAAGACGCGGGTTGCTCCTGCCGCTGCCGCTGTGCCTGCGCCTCGGGAGCGAGCCCTGCCGCTCCTGCCGCCGCCGCCTCTGCCTCTGCCTCTCCTCCTCCCCTTCCTGCACCTGCCTTCGCCCTCTCTGGGATGTGCTGCAAACGCCTCCCTCTGAACTCCCGCTACTTCTCCGGCGCGCACCAAGGCTCCGGCTGAGGGGCTTTTCCGTACCCAGGTTCCTGCCTCCCGCCCGGCTTTTACTGAAAGGGGGGGGGGAGAGAAGGAGAAATACATTAACAACCCCCCTCAGCGAGACCCCCCCTCCTGGCGAAGGATGCCCGGCAAACGCCAAGCGGTGCCATTCTCCCAGAGACCGCAGAAATACTGAGGAGGAGGAAGAAAAAAAGGCGGGGAAAGAGGCCGGCGAACGTGGGCATTTCTCTCAACCCACCCAGCTCCCCTCAGTGGTCGGGACGGTCCGCAGCTGTGCCGCCGGAGCTGCCTGGACTCGAAGCGCCCGGTCCTTATTCCCTCCGTGAGTGTCCAGGCACCGGGAAGGGGCGTGCGCGCGGGGGGGGCGGGCTTGTTGTGCCTCCTTGTGGTGGCCCGGCCAGTGCAGGCGGGAGGACGGGCTTCTCTGGGAGGCTGCGGGCGGGCGCACACTTTTTGGTGTGTGTGTGGCGGGGGGGGCGCGGGCTTGTCTCCCGGCGTGTGTTTGGCTTGCAAAGAGGCGCCTTGCTGGTCTCAGGTGCCGTTTGGAGGGTGCCCTGTTCGGCCGAGGGCTGAAGGCTGCCTGCCCACCTGGGCAAGCTGACCGACCTGGAAGGGAGACGTCCCATCCTCTACAGGTCGAAGGGTCGGCTGCCTGCACCACTTTCGTTTCTTCTTGGTGTTGATGGCGCTGCTCAACCGAGGGGTGTGTTGGCCAGTTGGCTGGCGGGCTCCGGATTTCGTTGGGGCGATCGGTGTCGGAAATCGGGAGAGGGGCGTCTGGTCTTGATTTGGCTGGGCAATCTATTGGGTTAGGGCTCCGCGCCCCTTACCCCCCAGGCTTGAGAAGAACAGAGAAGCCATTGGCGTGAGGGGCTGTGGCAGCGAGTGAGGCAGCGTTAGTTAACCGGGGAGGACAGAGTGGTTTTTGGGGATACAACCCACAAAGCTGCCACGCTGAGGCAAGCAGGTGTTGTCATCTGAGTGTTCCTCTTGGGAGCACCTTCTATTCTTAGAGCCTCTCTCCTTTGGGCGCATCTCTCCCGCGCTGTAGGTAGGAAGGCTGATCCGTTCCTTCAACCCCCGCCTCCTGCTTCCCCTCCTCTCATCGTGTGCTTAATAGCAGGCTGTAACTGTGAAATATGGATCCCTTAAGGGGAGTATTAATATTTGCAAAATGTTTTATATTAAATTAGTGCCTGGCTTCATTTAACCATTTTTAAACACACACACACACACATCTTTCTACGTGGCAACTTCCTTAGGATTTATGATAGTTCTGGCTGACAAACGTCAGAGGCATTTGGCTGGGTGGGGGGATTTTGGGGGGACAGCTCTCCTCATTATTTTACATGACTTGGCATGATTTCTGTGAAACGTATAAAACCGGCAATTGCTGGAGGCTTTTTAATGGAGTTTGTTAGGCAATTTCACAATGTTTTCCTTAATTTTAGAGGCAAGAGGTTTGGCAATAATTTCCTTTTGAGTTTCACTTCGGATTCTTGGTCTTTGTAAGCTTGCTGTCCTGGAAATGAACAATTTAAACTTACAAGGATTTCAATGGGTGAAAGAATTAAGAGCCTTGTAGAAATACTTTCTAAGGAGAAAAGGATAAGGGAAGCTGGGAAGTGCTTTGATACAAAGAATCGATGCAGCGGGAAAAGCACAGCTTTAGACCTGGAGTGACCAGAAACGACTTTCTTAGAAGCAGTCCTGCTGACCTTAGTGAGAATATTCAGAATTAAGCAGCCAATAGACTGGAGAAGATGTGCTTTGTATTTTTCCTGCAGATATCCGTCCTTATGTATCAAAGAAGGGGTTGGGGGGGGGAGACTGCAATAATGTGTATTGTTAGATATTTTTAAAAACTTACCATGCATCTTCAGGTTGGATCAGACTGCGTTTATGTAATTGTTCATAACTGGATGCCTGATACAGTTACTGTACAAACAGATGAGAAAAGCAATAGTATTGATCACTTAAATCAGAATATCAGCTGTTAACAATTGTACTGTAGCAGAGACAGGATTTCACCCATATTTCTTGATGTGTTTCCCCAATTTAACATCATTGGTAGGTTCCTGGTGTAGTGTAGAGAATTGTGAGATATATGTTAGTGATGCAGGTCACCTGCCTAAAATTATTACAAAAAAAGGTTGTTTGGGAATATTCTTCCATTTTACATTTTTATGGATATATTTTGAACCAGCTGACTGTGATAGTACATTTTGTGTGTATTGTCTCTAAATGCATAATCCAGCATAAACTTTTCATTTGCTTCTTGCAGGCAGATTCCTAGTTATTGGAGATGATAAAGTATACACTTAACTTAAAAGTTTATGTTTATACCTGGTTTTACAATTAAGAAGAAATAAAATCAATTTAGATGGGTGTTAATGGAGATGGGTGTTCATAGGAAAAAAATTAGGTAGGTATATGACATGGAGGGAAACAATTTTCCAAATCTTGTACTGAAATATATATATGTCAGATTGCACGGCTCAGAATTTTTCTTTGGAGTCTGAGCCAAATCACTTCTTTAAAGGTAGTTCATTTGATAAGACAGATGCCATTTTATAAATACAGCAATTTTGTGGAAAGTAAAAGGTTCAGAGAACACCAGCATAGTGAGATTCACAGATTACTCAGTGACAGAAACACATCTTTCTTAAGTGATTGTTTGGAAAAGAATTAATTGGGATTGAATGTATTCAGACATTCTTGTGGAATCACTGTAGTGCAACATCCTTGCCTGTACATTCTGTTGATCGCAACAAAGAATGAATCTGGGTAAGGTCTGTTAAAACCAACAGAAAAGAGACTTTCAAGTAAGCATATTTAGATCAGGATGATAGGATGCCTTGATTTCTTAATGGGACTTGTTGCAGTTTCTTGTATTTATTGCTTTAAAATACAATTTTAAATATCCATTGTAGCATAATGTCTTAGTACACTACTACATTTGCTGTACATGGTGCACAATAGATCATTTGGACTTAAATATGATGACTTTGACTCAAAGAAGATTCAATAAAGGTAGCAGGGCTTCAAGGAAACCCAGTCTTGACCATTGCCCCTACATGAAAAGCCATGTCCCAAGCTCAAGAGACATTAGAAGGGAGTCTTAAATAAAACACTAGGCTTGTTGAAGAAAAAAATAAGGAAACATTTATGCCTCTGTGGAAGTGTATAGTGTTTTCCATAGGAAATGTTTGGATCTTGCACACATCTGAAGTAGGGATTTTAGGACAAAAGCATTACACAAGATTGAAACAGAGCATAGTACTGCTCACATTTTACACTTTTATTTATGGAATATGAAATTCAAAAGAGGTGTTACATTTGAAGAGGTGTGTAACAGCTAAACATACCAGAAAACAAACAAACAAAGACAGAATATCCTCCCCAAAGCATTATCTTGCACAAAAGCATTCACTTCGAAACCCACTTCCTTCAGAATATTGCTTTTCTAGTGTGTGTGTGTGTGTGCATGAACAATATGATTGTTTTCTGTTTACTCGTACATCACTTTCTGTTTTGCTCTAGAAAAATGAAACTACTGTGTTACTACTGACCATGCACACATTGTTTTCAGTTGTGTGTTTCTTAGAGGTGACTCTCAAACAAGTTAAGAATTTTTGAATGTGTCCCAAAAATGGAAATCTTGAAGTGTCAGCAGACAAAGACTGGAACTGGGAATATGCACAGATGGCTGCTTTGAAAGTTGAACTAAAGCAAATCATGGGCTACAATTCCACTTTGTTCATTTTGCTATTTTGTTATGTTTTACTCCCAGCATGTTATTTGGAGAACAAAAACATGAGAGTACATTATCCATCTGAGGAGAAGACGTGTCCAGCCCAAAGGCCTTTCCAACAAATCCATGTGGAGCTTCAGTTTCTGATGTAACAATTGCTATGTGTATTCTTCTGTGACAATGTTATGCAGTTATTCTTTGGAGGGAAAGTGTGTCACAGAAAAGGGCTTTTAGTTGCAGAACTACAAAGTATAAACAGTTGAGTAACACACACATGAGAGAGAGAGAGAGAGAGAGAGAGAGAGAGCGCATTTCTCACTATAGAGGTTCACTTCCACAGTGTTGACAATCCTTTCCATATGGTGCCATGTGTTGTGAGCCCTTAAAGGCCCCATGACTCCTGATCTAGAGGCTGAGCAAGTAAACCAACATCTTTGGTGTTGCACTCATGGCTCTACTTCTGGATGGCCAGAGGCAATGTATTTATTGAATGGTTGTTCTGGGTTTTTCAGGCTCTTTGGCCGTGTTCTGAAGGTTGTTCTTCCTGATGTTTCGCCAGTCTCTGTGGCCGGCATCTTCAGAGGACAGCAACCTGTGCTCTGGTGTAGTTGGCTTGGGAGTGCAGTATTTATGGCTGTGAGATAGGCTTTTGTCTTTTCCGATAGATGGGTGATTGGTGTGTATTGTTGTGGGTGTATTGTTGTGCTAAGGGGAAGAGATTATCTGTTCCTGTGGTTGATGGGTCATTCCCCATGCATGGGGAAACTTTTGAAAAAACACAACCTACAAACAGTATTCAAGCCCACCATAAAAATACAACAAATGTTGCGGTCAGCAAAGGACAGAAGGGACCCCCTCACCACCGCAGGAGTATACTGGATAGCTTGCAGTTGTGGCCAGGTATGTATTGGAACCACAAAACGAAGCATCCATACCAGAATCAAAGAACATGAGAGACCCTGCAGACTAAAACAACCAGAAAAATCTGCAGTAGCTGAACATGCCCGGAAACAAACTGGACATGAAATTCTATTTCAAAATACTGAAATACTGGACAACACCAGCAATCATTACATCAGACTGCACAGGGAAGCCATTGAAATCCACAAGCACAAGCACAGTTTCAACAAAAAAGAGGAAAGTATGAAGCTCAACAAAACTTGGCTCCCAGCTATCAAACGTACTACGTGCAAAAAGTCAACGAACTCTACCCACCCACAAGGAAAGGGGATCACTACACACAAAAGACCAGCTAATGACACCCATGAACCACCTGCTCAAACCTGTGCAATTCAAAGGAGAAGTGTATAATATTCTAAAGACAAGACAGTTCTATAATTCAGGGCTTTAAAACTGCACCTAGTCAGGAAACCCACCCAACCCCGAGAATCGAGCTTTTTAACAGCAGTGGGACTACATGCTTCAGACTGAGAATACTAGATTTCTAGAGTACGTAATCACTGTTCTTGTGGACCAGATATGTTATAAGATATTTCATGACCCGAATCTAGTTCTTTATCTGTTGTATGTTAGATAAAGCATTTTTTTTTGCAATTGTGTAAAAAAAAGTGGTGTACAATCCATTTCTTTCTTGGAAGGGGGATATATAGTTATCTAAATTGCATTAATAACACCTTGTAACTTAAGGGATGAACTACTTTTGAATAATTATGTGCATTTCTTATAGTTTGAAACACAGTCACAAATACAGAGGTTATACCACATAATTCTAAGAAAATTGGTGAAGATAGGTGGGAATTATTTTTTTTAACTCTGCGAGTGACACATAAATGCAGTAAAGTTTTTAGTCCAAATGAAAATCTTTAACCTGTTGGTCCGTCTCAAACAAGTATTCCGTGCATGTGTTCACTTATGGAAGAAATGCACCACAAATAGGTGATTAACAGTTACAGTTGGGGATTGTGTAGAGGTGGATGATGGTAAGAAGATATCTGCTACCCAGAATAGGTTTTCTTTTATATGGTAAGTGAGATCTAGTGAATATGTGGCTCCATATATTCTTCCATGTTGCCAGTTTTCTGCATACTGCCTGATCTTTTAAAACTCCACTGAGTAAGTATCAGCTACAGTATTATGAAATGGAATAAGCAAGTAAAAAATTTTAGTGCCTCTCCAGATGGTGACTTCCAGTCCTTTTGGGTGTTTTGTCCTAAACCAGAAATGTCCTAAGTCAGTGGTACCAAACCTTGGGTCCCCAGATACTCTTGGACTAGAACTCCAGCAGGAGTTTTAGTCCAAGAACATCTGGGGACCCAAGACTGGGACCACTATCCAAAGCAGCGAATGTCATTTTTTCCCACTGCATTGTGAAGTTCAGAATGCTTTGTCTATTTTGATCATATAGTTCAGAACCCCATGAAATGAAATCGCAGAGGTGGAAACCACAGCTGCATAATCCAGAAAACTGCTTTTGTTCAAAAATCATAAATAGATATACTTCTTGTGTGGATAGTTATATTGTATTTTTCCTTTCAATTTCGTAGTTATAATTAAATTACATTTGTCATGAATTGAGTGTTTATTGGATGACCACTTTGAAGTCTGGAACTTGACTGTGTTACATTTGAGATATGTAAAATTTATTAAATCAAGATGCAAAGATATTTACAGCAATCTTGGCAAATAGAATGAATATGTTTATTACAAAATATATTAAAAAGGATCAAAATGGTTTTTTAAAGGGAAGACAAATGGAAAATTTAATTAGGAGGGTTTTGAATATTATATATAATATAGAAAAAGATAAATGAAAGGCAGGTATTTTATCATTAGATATTTTAAGGCATTCGATTGTGTAGAATGGCCAACATTAAACATCCTTTTAAAAGGTTGTGGTTTTGGAAAGAAATTTAGGGGGGTAATAGACCAATTGTATTTGGAGAACACTTCTGCAGTAATTGTTAATGATATGATGACAGCTCTAGGTTGAGGCACCAGACAAGGTTGCCCTCTTTCTCCAGTTCTGTTTTGTTTGGTTATTGAAATGTTAGCAAATGCAATAAGGAATGACAATTTAATTGAAGGCATGGGTGAAAATAATAAAATAAAGATTAATTTATTTGCTGATGATTCCCTATTGACAGTGAAAACCCCATTAAAAATATAGATAGAATTAAAATTCATTTAGAAAAATTTGGAAAAAATAACTGGATTAAATGTAATT